TACAGTGAAGTACAACAAAGTGAATTAGAACAAAGAAGTTCGTGGTTCAAACCTAATAAAAAACTATATCAACAAACTGCTAAATGCTTAATTTTAGACAAGTATTTTCATACTCCCAAGCTCAGTACATTTGTTCTTTGAGAATATGTACCAAAATAGAGACACAACCCCCATAAGCAATCATATTTTGGTATTTTTTTTGGACTTCAACTTCATTTGCCAATTAAGTATTCTAACTCTAGTTTCTTCATGCCTTCAATCAATCTCACGTTTTCCTCTCGCGATTCTTCATTCTGAGCATGAAACTCATTTGTTTTTTGTAACCGTACAAGAATAATTTTCAATTTGAATTCATTCCATTTTTAAAGTGATTATGTATATTATACTTTGAATTTAAAGTAATTTTTGAATTATAAGGGTTGTTATCCGAACTCGTAAAGGAATATTTGAATCTATTATCATAAAAAGAGGGAACCTAAATAATATATAAATAGTAACTAAAAAATAATTCAAATTCCCGCTAAAAAATATACTAAATATAGTAACTTTCTTTTTGAAATTTTTCATTTGCCGGTTTAAGTGGTTTCTTTGATTTTTTAAGAAATTTTCATTTCATGTGGCATGTTTAAAGTGGCGTGTTAAAGTTTCTTTGCTAAACTGGATTTTCATTGACTCCCGATTTTCATGTGCCCGTGGATATTTGTGGACTCTTATCAGATAAGTTTATGTGCCCGTGGATATTTTTGGACTCTTATCAGATAAGTTTATGTATTTTTAAACTCTTTACTGTATTTTTATTTGCCCGATATTTATGTGCCCGATATTTTTATATATTTATGTATTTTGAATTCTTTATATATACATTATAAGCTAATTACTTAATACTCATTCCTATTTTTATTATTTGTCGTTTTGAGAAGCAATACGCTAATTAAGAAATTTTTTTCTTGCCAATATTAACCCTATTTAACAGATGTTATGGGAAACAATGGAGATGGGATATGAAGAGACAATGTGCATTAGATGGAAGGTTAAAAATAAAAAAAATGAACAAAATAGGCAAAACGATATTTATTTAATCAATGATCAATTAAGGCAGAATGACAAATAATAAAAATAGGAGGGAGTAGTAATTAATAGGACTCTCCATTTTCCACATGGCCCGAATATTTATTTTTAATAACCTCATAGAAATCAATAACTCACACTATTAATATAAATAATAGAATTGTCTACCTCAATTTGCCCACAACATCCTACGCATAATTCATTTCAAACGTTCCTACCAATTTGCCCACATCAAACTTTTAGAATGGATCGGTCGTGGGGCCTTATCAAAGATATAAGGAGGAGTAAGAGACACATGATGAAGCTTCGGCATCTGCATTTTCGAACGAAGTTTCAATGCCTTGGAAATAGTGTTCCATGATAATGAAGTTTGATTTTTTACTTTACCTATTACAAATTATTATATGTAATTATTCAATCTATCCAAATGAAAAAATTTCGTTGACATTTTATACATTGCTAAATGTATAGGGCGCCCGCATAGCCGGTTTGATTCGAGGAGTTAACTTACCTACCCTAGGGGACAAGTTTGAAGAGTGCAAAGCGTACGTCATTCGAAACTACCGAGTTGAGTCTAATACTGGTAACTATAGATCGACACGTGCTCCTTATAA